TGAAAATGACCCACAAAAATATCAGGCTGTGTTGTAAAAAATCCTTTTGAGGGCTAAGTGTGCAATAAATACATACAGCTGTTGTTTACGAAGCCCACTTATGCTTAGAGAGGAAAAAAATATGCTTTTTATTTCTCTAACGCTGCTTTATGGTTGTCACATTTCATCATCATAATGATAACAAATAGATCAACTAAGAAGCAACGCAAAGATAACTGGGTTTATTAACCCCAACTCAATTAAGCTTAACGAGTCCTCTGATCATAAGAAGGTTATTTATTCTAATTTAGACTTGTGCTGGTCTGGTGTGGGAAACACAGGATGCACATTTAGTTTAATGAAATTAGCGGAGCGGATGATTTGTGGCGCTCCATGAAATCGTGAATGAAATCTGTCAACGCGGAAACTGATGCGATACCAGCGCCGATCTCAGCGATGGTTTATTACTACACCGTGAAAGCTCAAACGTACGCGTCAGGGTGTGAGGGTCTGAGTCTTTGAGCACAGAATGTTTGTTTTTGATTTTCTCGGTAAACGGTAATCAAAAAATGTTGTGTGTCCTGTGCTTCGCAAACTTCACGGCTCATATTCAGAAGACACACCGAGACTTTAGTCCTGGATAACTGTGAGAATGTTTCAGTGTCATTCCCTAATAAGCTAAAATGAATTGTGACCAATTGTACTACAATTACGTGAATGTAGCGTGAAAAGTGAATGTTTTAAATATGCTAACTCAATTAAAGAAACCGTGTCAGCAGGGAGAGAGTCACGGCTGTTTCTAGCTTTCTGTGTTACATCTGCTAAATATTATTATTATTATTGTAATTAGTCAGACAGACAGACACGTACCACAAAGACACATTATACAGTAATGTGAAAAAGTCTTGAATCCACTTTTTTATTTTTCATTAGGAAAATCCAAAATAGGCGTAGTGATTTATTGAAACACACAAACATAAACAGAAATATAGAATATAGGGGAAACAAGGTTTGTACAATTCTGCTGAACTTGACAGTCAGTATTTGGTATGGCCAAATTTATAATTCAAGACAGAAAGAACTCTCTTAGAAAAGCTTTCTTGTAATTCTTTTAGTCTTTAGGATGTTCTCAGGGCTTCTTGCAAGACATTTAAAGCATTTAAAAATGTTTCTTTCTCAGTTAGGCCTCCTGGCATTCTTTTGTTATTTAGGTTTTATTAGGTTTCATTTGTTTTTATTTTATTTTAATGTGGTTCTTTTTTAATATTGTTTACTAGTTTTTCTAGATTACTATTAACAAAATGTCTAAAGATATCATTTTAAACCATTTTTTTTTTTTGCCAAGTTGTCTGCTATGTGCAGACAGCAGTGGTTCTCGAGTTAGGTGTCTTTTTAATGCCTGAACTATTTTTTGCTTTAGTCGTTTAAGTGACTTAAATAACTATTCAAATTATTTTGAACGTCAGTCAGCTAAAAGGACTGTACTAAAAACGTCACTGAAAAAGACAAAAAAAAAAAAAGACAGCCACTGTCCAAAGAAGAAACACTTGCAGAAAAACCTCAAGACCTGTTGCTGAAGACCAGTAAAAAACAAACAAAAAAAAACAAAACACACACACACACACACACACACACACACACACACACACACACACACACAAAAGAAACAAAATAGAAAAAAATAGAAAAAATAGTCTGGCTACCTGCAAAGAAAATATAAAGAAATGAAAGTGACTGTTGCACAGCACTACAGACAATAAGAAAATAATG